TAGTAACCTGCCAAGCCATGTTGTTATGTTTGGAGATGCCTGTAGACATAAGTTGGTAGGTTGTTTTTTTTTTTATATATATATATATATATTATGTATTATTTATAACATGGTTTTTTCTGTTTATAAATAACTTTGTGAATCTTGTAGGTATTTCCAAAGGATTGGACTGCCTTGTTGACTGGAGTTCGTAGTCCTGTGGAAGTTCTTCGAGGCCCTAATAGTCGTATATGGCCTATGCAGCTAGTGAAGGTTATTGAAGATATCAGAAGTAATATGTGTCTTGATATTGGCTGGGAAAGTTTTGTTAATGAAAATTACTTAGTTGATGGTGAAACAATGATTATTTATTATGCTGGTAATAGAACATTTTATGTCAGGGTCTTTTCTTCGACTATGGTTGAAAGACTTGCTAGTATTGAACCTATTCAAAAAGATGAGGATATATAAATTTATGTAATTTTATATTCAAACTTTATAAATAAAATATTATTATGGCCTCTTAAGTAGAGGTAATTTGAAACTTAAATATATATTTCACACTGCTATATGTAGTGAAAACTATTTAGAAAGGAAAAATAGATGTATGAAAATGTATATCTCCAATCGTATATTTTGCACTTGGAAAATGTTGAAGAAACTCACTGAAAACAGCTAAGTACAGGAAAATTAGGCAAAGTCAGGACATTACATGGCTATAATATTAGTGGTTATAATATTGAATAATGTCCTTGTTAGTTCACAATATAGGATATTGTACATAACGGTTTTTATGAGCTCAAACGAATTTTAAATTCTAAGAGTTTTAAACCTCCTAAACTCCCACTAATTCTACCTAAATACAATCATTACACACGTTCCCAAGCCAACCACCCACTAAACCTACTGTCTCCCCTAATTTAGGCTAATTTTTTTGCTCTACTTTCACCCCCTTCCAGTAGAATTTCCTCTAGATGTAGTACCAATTAGGCTTAACCAAATTTGCCAAAGAAGAAATGTGTCTCCATGCCTAGACATGGCATTGGGATCAAAGGTCTTAGATTTTAATCTTAGATTTCTACTGAGTTGTTTGGCAAACATTTCACTAATAATGGCGAATCTCATGAATAGGGATGGTCAATCTTATGTATGAGGATGGCTGCCTTGTTGAAGGGAAAAGTGTGAAAGAAAAATTCTTAACGGAGTGCAAGAAACATATGATACTGAGTTGGCTGGAATACAAAATTACCTTTGAACACTCCGTGGAAAGACCAGTATAGACTAAATCAAATTCGCCAAAGGAAAAATGTATTCCTATGTCTAGACTCGCATTGGGATCAAAGGTCTTAGATTTTAGTCGCCTTTTAACCTGCCTAAATAGTGGTATTGAGTTGCCTGGAAAACATTCCGCCTCTAAGTATTGCTAATACTTTTAAATAACAATCGCAGGTCAATCTCATGTATGAGGATGGTCGCCCTGTTGAGGGGGAAGGTGTTGGAAGAAAAATGCTCGACAGAGTGTAGGAGACATATGACACTGAGTTGGCTGGAATACATTTTAATGCAGTTTTATAATAAATAGTTAGGCTATAACTAATTGGAATTCAGGAAATTACATGACCACAATATTAGTTGTTATAATATTGAATATTGTCCTTGTTAGTTCACAATATAAGATATTTGAGAAAGCGCTTTTTTGTGAGTTCAAATGAATTAAAAATTCTAAGAGTTTAAAACCGCCTAAACCCCTACTCATTAACACAACCATTACACACGTTCCCAGGCCAACCACCAACTAAACCTTCCGTCTACCATAATTTAGGCTGTTTTATTTTTAGGTTCTACCTTCACCCCATTCCAGCAGAATTTCCTCTAGATGCAGTACCAATTTAGGCTTAACCAAATTTGTCGAAGAAGACATGTGTCCCCATGGCTAGACACGGCATTGGGATCAAAGATCTTAGATTTCAATCGGCTTTTAGCAGGCCTAGAAAGTGGTAATGAGTTGTTTGACAAACATTTCGCTTACAATGGCGAATCTCATGTATAAGGATGGTCAATCTCATGTATGAGGATGGCTGCCTTGTTGAAGGGAAAGGTGTCGGAAGAAAAATGCTCAACAAAGTGCAAGAAATATATGATACTGAGTTGGATGGCAAACATTTTGCATATGATATTTTAAAGAAATTGTTCACCATTGGGACACTCCGTGGAAAGACAAATTTAGGCTAAACCAGATTCGCCAAAGACAAAATGTGTCCATATGTCTAAACATGGCATTGGGATCAAGGTCTTCGGTTTTAATCGGCTTTTAATAGGCCTAGAAAGTGGTACTGAGTTGTTTGGCAAACATTTCGCTAACAATGGCGAATATCATGTATAAGAATGGTGAATCTCATGTATGAGGATGGCTGCCTTGTTAAAGGGAAAGGTGATAGAGTAAGGGCGCTACCGAAAGCTTTTTTAGGATGGATTTGAAAAATAAATTTTCATAGAATATATAAATCTAATTGAAATAGAATCGAATCGTTCTAGACGAAAAATATAGAATCTATATAGAAAGAAAAATAAAATCTATACAGAGTTGGATGGTAAACATTTTGCAGAGGATTATAAAATGAAACTGTTCACCATTGGGACACTATGTGGAAACACCAATTTTCACTAAACCAGATTCGCCAAAGGAAAAATGTGTCCTTATGTCTAGACACGGCATTGGGATCAAAGGTCTTACGTTTATTTAGCTTTTAATAGGCCTAGGTAGTGGTCCTGAGTGGCGTGGCAGATATTTTACTTACGATGGCGAATCTCATGTATAAGGATGGTCAATCTGATGTATGAGGGTGGTTGCCCTGTTGAAGGGAAAGAAGTCGGAAGAACAGTGCTCGACAAAGTGCAACAAACATATGATACTGAGTTAGTTGCCAAACACTTTGCCTATGATGATGAAAAGTGCCTTGTTGAAGGAAAAGGTGTCGGAAGAAAAGTGGTTGACAGAGTGCAAAAAACATATGATACTGAGTTAGATGGCAATTTTGCGTACGATGATGAGAAGAGATTGTTCACCTTTGGGACACTCCGTGGAAAAAAGTTGGAGTGCCTACGATATTAAAAAGAGACTGTTCACCATTGGCACACTCCGTGGAAAGAATTTGGAGTTTACAGTTATTTTGAATGACGTCACTTCAGCTAGGTAAAATGTGATAAATTGTTATAACTTGTTTTGAATGATTTAAAGCAAAAAATGTAACTTATTATATATGGAGTATTATCTCATGTATAAGAATGGTCAATCTCACGTGTGAGGATGGCTGCCTTGTTGAAGGGAAAAGTGTCGAAAGAAAAGTGCTCGACAAAGTGCAAGAAACATATGATACTGAATTGGATGGCAAACATTTTGCATACGATAATTTAAAGAAACTGTTCACCATTGGGACACTTCGTGGAAAGATAAATTTAGGCTAAACCAGATTCGCCAAAGAAAATATGCGTCCTTATGTCTAGACACGGCATTAGGATCAAAGGTCTTCGGTTTTAATCGGCTTTTAACAGGCCTAGAAAGTGGTACTGAGTTGTTTGGCAAACATTTCTCTAACAATGGCGAATCTCATGTATAAGAATGGTCAATCTCGTGTATGAGGATGGCTCCCTTGTTAAAGGAAAAGGTGTCGGAAGAAAAGTGCTTGACGGAGTGTAAGAAACATATGATACAGAGTTGGATGGTAAACATTTTGCAGAGGATGATAAAAAGAAATTGTTCACCATTGGGACTCTATGTGGAAAGACCAATTTTAGCTAAACCAGATTCGCCAAAGGAAAAATGTGTCCCTATGCCTAGACACGGCATTGGGATCAAAGGTCTTATGTTTTAATTAGCTTTTAACAGGCCTAGGTAGTGGTACTGAGCGGCGTGGCAGATATTTCTCTTACGATGGCGAATCTCATGTATAAGAATGGTCAATCTGATGTATGAGGGTGGTTACCTTGTTTAATGGAAAGGAGTCGGAAGAATGATATCATGTACAAAATTATGAGCTTTTTTAATAGGCGAATAAATGTGATTGTTGTCTGTACAGTGCTTGACAAAGTGCAAGAAACATATGATACTGAGTTAGATGCCAAACACTTTGCCTACGATGATGAAAAGTGCCCTGTTGAAGGGAAAGGTGTCGGAAGAAAAATGGTTGAAAGAGTGTAAAAAACATGTGATACTGAGTTAGATGGAAAACATTTTACCTGCAATGATGAGAAGAGACTATTCACCTTTGGGACACTCCGTGGAAAGAAGTCGGAGTGCCTATGATGTTGAAAAGAGATTGTTCACCATTGGCACACTCCGTGGAAAGAATTCGGAGTCTACAATGATTCTGAATGACGTCACTTCAGCTAGGTGAAATGTGATAAATTGTTATAACTTTTTCGAATGATTTAAAGCAAAAAATGTAACTTATTATATATGGAGTATTATCTAATTTTGTTACATGTTAATATTGTTTGCAAAGTGTATAAAGTATATATGTATTTCAATTATTAGAGCATTTTAAAATTACACTCGTTAATTAGAAACAATTTGGTATTTAGGTATCATAATTAGAAACAAATTGGTATTTAAAATCATTGTGAAGTTAATAAATGGAGATGGAGATAGTACTTATTAAATTAAAACTCTATGTTGCTATATTCTATATTTATTACATTGGAAAACCTGTAGTTAAAAATCCATAAACCTTTTAATCAGTTTAACTTTAATTATACATTTTTTTTTTAATTTCAAATGTTACATTTTGATGTGTACAATAGAAATTATAAAGGATTTTAAAAGGTATGCTTTCAAACAGACATACCTTGCCCGATGTATGTAAGACCAACTGTAAATATCACTTTGTTGTGATGATCAAAAGCATATGCAATAATACAGTGTATAGTGTGATCTTTCATTATGAATCCCCATTATTTATATAAGTATGCAATACAAATAACATTGTACCGATAACATTAAACAACAACTTAAATATCTAATGCTAAATTATTTGCGAATACTTCAAAATATCAAAAGATACTACATTTCTAATTGAGTTCAAGTGATACCCTTCAGGTGGTTTGGTGGTATATACCACAACATCTTCAGCCTTTTTAGCATGAGATAGAGCCACATACAACTGACCATGAGAGAAACATGGCCGAGGAAGATATATTGATACTTGATTCAATGTCTGCTCTTGTGATTGAATAATTGTCATGGTAAAACATAGTTTGATTGGAAATTGTTTCCTTTCAAAAGCAAAGGGATAGCTGTTATTTGCTGGAGGGCGTAGATTTGCCCGATGCACAAAAACAGTTGTACCCTTGTATTGTCCAACAGAAATTTCACAGACAATAATGTTGAGTAGAAAAGTTTTACAAATCAGTCTTGTACCATTACAAAGTCCTTCAGAAGGCATTATGTTGAGTAACAAAATTACTGGACAATCCTTCTTAAGGACAAGCTCATGGGGACTCATTCCTCCTGGACAAAGTTTATTTATAAACTCTATCGGATAAATATTGCATGTATCATTGAGCATTACATCAAAACTTTTATAAGTCATTGTTTCTCCTGGAAACTGATCAATTAAAACTGAATTCACTAAATCCACATCATCATTCATCGGAGTTAAAATTGCCCTATCTGCAAAGATATCTGATGTTATTGTTCCTTTCTCAACTTCTGGAAATGTTGCATTTATAATCTCCAAAATGGGATATTTTTCCATGACCAAGTGTCGAATCATTCCATCAGGCAGTTTTATATAATCACACTCATTTGTTTGTAATTCACCATTGCTAAGAGATAACAAAAATGAACAGAATGTAGGGTCTTCACGAGCTCGCTGGTTTTCTGTTAGTTTAAATCTTTTCAGACATGTCCAGATATATGAAGTCACTATGCTTGCTTCAACAACCTATCTTAAGGACTTATGAGGTACAACTGGTAAAACATGTCTAAAATCTCCGCCAAGAATAACGAGCTTACCACCAAAAAGTGTTGTATTTTCACATATATCATGTAGCAGCAAATCAAGGGCCTGAAAATTTGCCTTGTTGGCCATAGAAGCCTCATCCCAGATAATCAAAGTCGTCTCTTTTATTAACTGTGCTAAACTACCTTGTTTTGGCACATGACATGTGAAAGAGTTCTCATGATCAACTGGTATTTTAAATCTTGAATGAGCTGTTCTCCCTGAAGGAAGATTTGATGCTGCTATTCCAGATGTTGCAGTTGGAAATACAATTTTATTCATCATACGAATTTCTGCAAATAAACAATTGTATAAACAGGTCTTCCCTGTGCCACCTGGTCCATCAATGAAAAAAGCACCTCCTTTTCCTTCATGTATGTGTTTCATTATGGAATCAAATGCTTTGAATAGAGCTGCATTCAAACGTTCTTTTGTATTTATGAATTCTTGAGGAATAGCTGCATTTAGGGCATCTGCTATATCTCTTGTTTTTCTGAAATCATCACCAACAGTATAGCTTAGATGATCTAGCCCAAAACTTTTTGAGTGATTTTCCCATTGATTCAAGATGTTGTTCTAACAAACTAATAGTCAGCTGCTTGATTTTTTCGGTACAACCCTTAAATTTATACCTGAAATCTTCTGACAATGCTGTGTAATATTTATCCCATAAAGCAGATGGATCACTTGGTTGATAGAAAATCAGAACTGTTGCAAAAAATCGTCTCAAAGCATTTGGTAACTGTACTTTTGCAGCTTCGGCTAAGCATATAGATGCAGCACCATCATCTTCTAAAAGACCAAGTCGTTTGGTAGTTTCTTGAAATGTAGCACAGACATAATTATCAACCGTGCGTATGTCTAAAAAAGATTTTGAATTTCTGATGTTAAGCAGTAAAAGTCGGAGGAAATAACGTTCACTTTCAGCAGGTATGACAAATGTTATCCTCCCAACAATAATGAGTGTTGTTTTCCTTTGAACCCACTCTTTTGTAATTGCATCCCATCTGTAGTGCTCTGGGAATTCACCATATAAAAGATTGGTGCCACCATTAATTGTTGCATTCATTGTGAAATATTTTGTCAATGGTGTTCGTGAGCGCTTTGGATCTTTCATTACCCGTGTGAGATTTTCATGTGGTCTTACAGCAATGGATTGCATGTTTAGTAGGTGTACATACAGGCAACGACATGACGGGAGGATAGATTTTATACAAATCAAACCCAAATATTCGCTATACTCCTACACATGGGGATACCCACCTGACAATTTGAAATCGTTCAATTCCAGTGATATATTTGAAATTATACAAAACAGAACCAAATAATGCAAATTGAATAATCAATACCAACCTGCCAGATTGAAATTGTTCAATTTCATCAACTTTATTATCATCTGTGGCAAATATCTTGAATGAGATTCGATCATGCCCTTTGTAAACGTACTTGTACAGACATTTGACTGCTTTGATAGTTAAGCATACCTCAAAGTTTATATAACAGTCAAACATGAGTAGTAAATACGGATTGTAAGGTAAACCCATTGGTTATCTAGCTCAGCTTGTCTAATTTTCACTTTTTCACCTGTTTGTCTTCTTCTATATACAGTGTATCCATCTTTGTTGTTTGCTGTTTCTGCTATATAGTCTTTCGGATACCCATTTTTACATACTAATTTTCTCTCATCCATTTTCATGCAAGGGCATCTTGGATTCAGCTTGCCGCACGGTCCATGCATCATGTGAGTCATGACAACTTTATGAAGAAGAGGATTATGAAGTGATGGTATTTCAGCAGAAACAAATTTGTCATACTCTGTTGGCCCTCGTATTTTGAATTTAAATTTCAGTATTATTAAGAAATGTGCATGTGGTAATCCTCTCTTTTGAAACTCAACAACGTAAATCATTGCTGCTACTTCACCGAAGACTTTTTCCTTCATAATCTGTTTTTTAGCGCCAATAGTTTAGCACGGAATATCCGAGCTACTATATCTGGTCTATCTTGTGCTTTCTCTCCAGGTTGTAGTTCAACCTTTATTTCTGGCCAGTTCGCATTGCATGTCATGGTAATAAAAAGATCCGGATTGCCATACCTCTGAACTAATGCCATAGCATTTATACCGGCATTTAAGATCTCTAGGACAGCCGATGAACGATGGAGGCAAAACAACAAGATGTCCAATTTTTGAAGCATCTGTTTCTCCACTCGTCACACTATCAAGAATACCTTGATAAAGATCAGCTCTTATTATATCTTGATTGTTTCTTAGGTAATCGAGCCTTATATTTTCTATCTTGACATACATGTCGACAACAAACTGTTGAAAGCATATTCCAACTCTTAGGAGCATATTGTGCGGCCTAATTTGTAATTTGTAAGCATAGTATTCTCTTGGAGAGATATATTTATCGGCTTTTGTTCAGTGTTTAACAGCACCTACATTTTACAGAAAGAAAAAGTTACTACTCAGAATGCACATCACAATAAATGTTTAAAAATTTAATATATGTGTGTAACATAAACTTACGTGATGCTTCTTCATCCAAAAAATTTTGTACGGTATGAACTGCACATGAATGTATAGGATCTAGAACCTGATGTGTTTGATTCTTCCCAATAGCAATCCGTTTCTTAAGATTTTGGGTCCATCCACATTCACCATGGGGGAATAACAGTGGATATTGTAGTGGGTCATAGCACCCGTAGTAGTGACAAATCCGATGAGTTTGAGCAGACTTTCCATACACAAGAATATGCGAAGTGCTGATTTGATTAGGAGACGCACCATCTGGCCACACCACAACAACTTCATCTGACAAAGGTGCATTGTAAACACGCTGATCCAAAACTGTACTCTGACTTAAGACTATTCGCGTGTTTTCATCTATCTCTATTTCCCTCAACGATCTGAAAAATCTCACATAAGGATTTCTCTCAGTAATCTTCATTAGTATACGAATAATATCTTCCCGTACTTCTGGAAAACATTAAACTCGATTTTGAACTTCGTGTTGGCCATCATAAAAATAGAGTTGTAGGTATTTAGGATTATTATCATTAGGCAATAGATCTGGAACACAGTGATATATTTGCCCATGCATTTTGAATACATAAATCCCTTTGTGTTGTTGACTCAGTTTTGCTGCAAATAGAACTAAAAGCAAAAAGGTTGTTATACATTCGGCTATATTGTTTGAAATGTTTAGCATCTTCTTCTTGTGATATAAATAAGCGGCATAACTCATCAGGAAATTCATTAGCTGCAATCACAACCTCTCCATTGTAACAACAAAAGTGTGGAGTTTCATACGTGAATTTCTTTGCAGTACAATGCAAACAATAGTGTGCATTCCCGAGCATAAGAGGACCTTCTGGTAGAGTTTTCCCTACGATAGCAAGAGGTATAACTATCAATTACAAAAAAAAAAAAAAAAAAAAAAAAAAAAAAAAAAAAAACAATTAATAATATGTCCATATAATAAGTATCACTTGTGTTGAAATGTTAAGTAAACTGGTTTAAATAATCACAGTCTAAAATTATAATACCTACCTTCATCAACCCTACACGAGAAATGATTATGTATTAATAAAAACAGCTTCATACTGTAGTCTTTCACATTTTCAGTAGTTCAGTGAATACCTTGGCATATTAGCAGTTGAAGTTTGTTCAAAAAAACGTTTACGTTTACTTTTACGTTGATGACATGTATGTGAAGAACTCCCCACTTTATCTGGTAATTCATAACAACTAAAATTAATAACAATATACTGAAACAATAAACATATTATATGATATTAAACACGTAATGCACAAAGATACTTAATAATTAGGGAAAAAATGATTGTCAAAAACTAAGCAGATCTAATGATAAAATGTTGCAAAAAACGATAATCTGGATATGTAGGAAAGTAGGTTTTAGGAGTTTCCGCCATTGGAGAATTCGCCATCTTCTTCTTCACCGTTCTTCTACTTTTTCTTTCTCTCTACTCTTAAACAACTTGTTCCCATTCAAAACCACATCCTACAAAAGGTTTAACCATATAATATTTTGTGGGCTTTATTTTGAACATTTACGTTAGGCTACTTGTTCTATTAGGATTTTGATACCATTTTAAAGAGGTAAATATACTTTGGAGTTTGTACAAGCTGGACATAAGTAAATTAATAATATGTGCATATAATAAGTATCATCTGTGTTGACACGTTAAGTAAACTGGCTTAAATAATCACAGTCTAAGATTATAATACTTACCTTCTGTACGGGTTTTTTTACAACATTTTTCATCAACCCTACACGAGAAATGATAATGTATTAATAAAAATAGCTTCATTCTGTAGTCTTTCACATTTTCAGTAGTTCAGTGAATACCTTGGCAAATTAGCAGTTGAAGTTTGTTCAAAAAAACGTTTACGTTTGCTTTTACGTTGATGACATGTATGAGAAGAACTCCCCACTTTATCTGATAATTCATAACAATTAATATTAATAACAATATACTGAAACAATAAACGTATTATATGATATTAAACACGTAATGCACAAAGATACTTAATAATTAGGGAAAAAATGATTGTCAAAAACTAAGCAGATCTAATGATAAAATGTTGCAAAAAACGATAATTTGGAGATGTAGGAAAGTAGGTTTTAGGAGATTCCGCCATTGGAGAATTCGCCATCTTCTTCTTCACCGTTCTTCTACTCTTTCTCTCTCTCTACTCTTAAGAAACTTGTTCCCATTCAAAACCACACCGTACAAAAGGTTTAACCATATAATATTTCGTGGGCTTTATTTTGAGCATTTATGTTAGGCTACTTGTTCTATTAGGATTTTGATACTATTTTAAAGAGGTAAATATATTTTGAAGTTTGTACAAGCTGGACATAAATAAATTGAGAATGATGTAAATTATTGTATCGAAATATAATAGACATAATTACCTGTAGTACTCCCACTGTATGTCCGAGATCTACGCGAACGATGTTCAAGCTTCCTACGTTTACTGGAATTGTATCTGTGAATAATAAAGTATACATATAAATAACAAATAATCTACAACATAAGGCAGACAAACATAGAGACTTACGGTGCTTCTCATTCTTGTATAGACACCTGCAAAGAATTACCAGTTCGTGCACCCCTCTATTTCAGTATTCAAAGACACTTCTGAATTACGCGTCATTCTATGTATATTATCTGAGTACCTCGATTGAACTTCTAAATCACCAGTTCTAAAATATGAATTCTAAATGCATGGAATCTAACTCAGGCAACATTAACTGCAGCTGCACACACATCATACACCCCTTATCTGAATTGGAATTGATAAGCTAAATAAGAGGGGGGGGGGGGGAAATTGCAATTTGTGTAAATAAGAAAACAAAAGATGTGTTTACAGATTGTTGAAATAGCTTAACTTCTATATTATCCAATATTAACAAAGCAGTAGGAACTCTAGCGAAACCTCTTGTAATTAATATCAAACTGGAGACTCACCCTTTTAACATCAAAAGTTTAACAAACATTAATCAATTTATTCCAGAATCTTCACGACATTCACTCCAATTAATGGTGGTAATGGAAATAGGCTTGTATATAAATATGCTATGAGAAAAACATATATTCTACTTACTTTAAACTTGATTTGCTTAACCTACAGTTACTTATGAGGAAGAATATGTTTTTCTTATGAAATTTGCTCAACCTAAAGTTAGTTATAAAAAAAGTAAACTTTGAAAACGAACGTTCGTACAATGTTAAAGAATAATTAATTAATGATAATAAATAAATACAAAAATTAAAGCAACTAAGCTCGTACACCTTCAAAATAGCATTGTAGAGTTTTGTCTCATTACTCTCTCTTACAAAGGTTATTTATGAAACATATGTCCACACATTAGCACTCGTTGTTAAGGAATGCAACATCATTACAGAGTTACATATTATTAACCATCTTAATACACGTGAAATTTTGGATTATTGTATATTTGCTTAGTACATTTTTTTAACAAAAGTTTAAATAAAAAAAAATAATGTAGAAGATTATATATTCTATTATAATAAAATAAAAAACAACCAACGGTTAAATGAAAAAAATTAAGCAGGAGTATACCCCTTATAATGAGGAAAAGACCAATTGCAAATTAAAAGGAGACGGCTAAGCAAAAGTATATTCAAATGTAAAAGGATTCAACAATAAAAGAGCATATAATAAAAAAAAAAAAACAAAAGGTATATTAATAATTTTGATATTTGGGTTCAATTCATAATTTTGTTGTCCTTGTTATTTTGCAATAAAGATGAGCACTTAATTTATTAGCGAGAGTACAAAACAACGATGAAAGAACGAAGAATAATTCGGGAAATTAAATTAAGACAAATGATAAAAAGATAGCACAACTAAATATATTGATTTTCATTAGGAAAACCATAAAACACGACGATAACAAAATTCTTTTAATAATAATGAACAAAGAGAAAACAAATCTAAATCTTCTATTAACAAAAACAGACAAAATATCTATTTCAATCCAACTACATATTTGTCAAAACAAAAGTATTCATTAATATCATACTTATCATTCAATAAACATTTACAAATTTGGGATAAAACGTATAATTAGATATTCACTTCCACATTTTTTACAAAACTTGCACCCTAGGTAATTTCATACTTAAATCTAACTAACATTATCAAAACCCCCCTAAACCATTACCGAAACAGTTAACTCTTAGTTTCCTATATATAACATTCAAAATACATAGTACATTTATTCTGTGAAATCTAAATTCTGAACCTCTACTATATTGTACACTACAACTACATACTACTTATCCAAAACAGTTCACTGTCACCTATAAATTGCCTTCTTGTTATACCTCATCAACACCAATTCCAATTTCTCCTTTTCTTTCTTCTTATCCTCTTTTAATCTTCTAAAATGTGAACTACCTTCAATTGTGACCTGCTCCACCCAATTTAGGAATCTAACAAGGTTGTTCACTACAATAGGTGCTTCATCAATTGCATTTTGCACACCTTTTGCTGCAGTCTTCAACACCAAATCAACCTCAGCCTTCTTTAGTAAAATATCTTTCTCCATCACCAAAATACCTAATTTCAGCACCTCCATGATACGTTTATGAACTCGACAAAAGCTTTTATATCGCAATTGCTATCTCAAGTTCATCTGCATTCTCCATTTCTATATATTACGAACAAATACATACACAAGGGTTCCTACAATGTACAAAAAATTAAAGTTAAATCATTATTAAACCTAACTACTTATTTTAAAAGGGGAACTCATACATATAATAATACAATAAAAGGAATTTTTTGTCATTTTAAAATACCTATATAGTCTGTTTCAATATATCTATATAAATGGACAATTCAAATTAAAGCCCAGTTTTTCCTTTTAAACATTTAGCATAACCCACTGAATCTTCTTTTTAACATAATTTAAACCAAATCATATTAAAAACAACACCAACCTTCTTTAAAACCTTTCAAAGTACACACTCAGTTTTTAAAATCTATAAACCAATCAATAAAACAATTTTTATTTTCTATTAAGCTATTTTATTCTAACACCTTCCCCATTTTCTTCTAACACCTTTCCCTCTTTCTTAATATGTTAATTTTTGGAACACATACTTGAAAAGACCAATTAGAACCAGATACTGCTAATGAAGGTATTTACAACTCAAACAGGAAATGGATTAACCGGACATTCGAACGGATGTAATACCAATTAAGACTGAATCAGATCTAGCAAAAAAAAAAAATATATCCCTATATCTAGACACATCGATCAAATCTAAAATAAATACATTCAACTGCCTAGTTGTATTCATTACAATGGAAAATAATATTTGAAAATTTTGGGTTATTTTTAAAATAAATGTAATAGGTAATTTTTAATTGTCTTTCTAAACAAAAGATCAAATTTTAAAATGTAATAGGTAGTTATTTGGAGGTTATCACCCTAAAAATCTTAAAATCCATTAAATTCCAGATAATCACTTCAAAATCAATGTCACTACTGCATAACCCTGACACTAAAGCAAAATAACATCAACATTCAAATCTGCCAAAACTACCAACGGAATTCAGGATTCTAAAATATCGGATGGAGAACTGCAGGAAAAGAGGAAATCAGAGCATGAATACAACAGTCAGATTAACTCGTTTCTAGTTTCTTATAAAATAATTGCAAGCAACGTATTCTAAGACAGATACAAATTAAAGCACAAGTACACAAACCATTCACATCATTGTCAATTAGTCGCAACACATTCTCAAATAATTCTAGATTCTTCAACCCTAAAATGATTCGATCAACTCTAAATCCTCCATAACTGATCAACCTACAATGCAAGCACAATTTGTAATAAAAACCTAATGCTTAAATTCCATTAGCTGATCCAAAACCAAAGAGATATGAACATCTAAAACCCAAAACATAGTGTCACCCAAATTATATGTAATGGTACCTCAATCTTATTTATCATTTCATCTGCTAACAGAATATCAATCTACCTGCTAGGGCCTACCTTCAACTCCATTCATATTAATCACTAACAAAACCTTTATACAGTTAATTGACTATACTCTAGCCTATAGTACACACATATTCGGAACACCAGCAGCAATATGGCAGCATAAGTATAAATAATAGAATCAAGTGTAATCAACAGCCTTACTATAATGCTAACAAGATATCAATCTTATTTATAGGCTCATCCAAAACCAAAGAGATATGACGTCTAGAACCCAAAACATAGTGTCACTCAAATTATATGTAATGGTACCTCAATCTTATTTATCATTTCATCTACTAACAGAATATCAATCTACCTACTTAGGTCTATCTACAACTCCATATATATTAATCACTGACAGAGCCTTTATACAATTAATTGTCTATATTCTAGCCTATAGTATACACGTAATCGAAACACCAGTAGCAATATGGTAGTATAAGTATAAATAATAGAATCAAGTGTAATCAACAGCCTTACTATAATGCAGATAGGAGGAAAGAAGATCAATTTAACCTAAGTAATTTTAAAACAATTAGAAACATAACAAAAGCTAACTTGTTTGAAAAATGATCTTCATAGGTTCCCAACTCCCAAAAATTAACAATTGCAAACCAAACATTCACATTCACATATTCCTGATGTCCAACAAATCTATCAAACTCACTACGAATATTTAAATCCGGCGTCAATTCATTAGACTCATCTAATTGCTTGCTCTCCGAATCATGTACTTATGGGAACCCAATATTAACAAATGCCAACCGTTTAATAACAATGACTGAAACCAAACACTCATTAAGTTTTACTGTCCAACCAAGCCATAATCTATAATCTATCTAATTGTAGCAAGGTTTCAGAAGTTAAAAAAAAAACCCCTCCTTAGTTCAATCAGTCCAAATGTTTTCCAAAAATTACACACACAACTTACAAATGCCAAATATCAGCTTTAAAGCAAAGAGTAAAGCAAAACACTCACACTCCTGATGTACAACCTATCTACAAATCCCACTGTAGATAATTAGTTATAACATCAAATCATTAGTTAAAACATCAAATCATTAGCAACACCAACAAATGCCAACCCTTATAACAGCAGCGAAGGAAAAAAAATTAACACTCAGATAATTCCAACTGTACAACCAAACTATCACGATGTTATTGAGAATGAATAATATCATCCTTGATTCTATAGACTCATCTACTTGCAGCCAAGATACACAAAGTTCATGAAAACAATCCTCAATAGATCAATCGACCCCAACATCCAGTGTTTTGTAGCCTCGTTAAATTATAGCCAAATTACACAATGTAAACACTCTTCAATAGCTCAATAGATACCAACATTCAACAATTCTATAACCTCATAACTTCCCTACGACTTAATAACTGATACTTGCAGTGTGCTTCTTTTTTTCTTATATCCCTTATCACGAAATTACTACATAGAAAAAGAATATTAATTTCAACCATATTCAAAAAACAACCTAAATAGAAAAAAGATACTACTTTCAACCATATTCAATTAATATATATATGTATGTATATACATATCATATAACACCAGTTCTTTTTAAACATACATAAAAGCAAGACACAAGTACTCTAAAACCAAAATCGAAACATAAAGTCAAACCATATTACTTCAAACATACCAAAATACAATCTCAAAAAACTAATAAACAAAATCCATCTATGCACACTAACCTGAATGAAACTAATCAAATATCTTTTATATAATCTTCAAAACTATAAATGTGAATCATGTCCTTTATTCCCATTTTAAAATTATTATTACAAGTGTAAGGAACAACAATGTTACAGTACACATGTTTTAAAATTTAACTTAAACCGTTGTTGAACCTCTATTCCTCAAAATTAGCTCAACCAAATGCAAAAAAAAAAACGCCCTTAATATGAAAGAACTTATCAAATGTGAATTAAAAACTAATACCTTCACAGAAGATACACCCAACTCACTAATACCCTCACCAAAGACAAAGTGTTCAACTGCATGCAACAAAGAACATAATTAAAAATATAAAACAATTCGATACGAAATCACCTGATTTTCCCCTAATCCCAAAAAAATAAAACAATTCAATACAAAATCACCTGATTTGTAAATCCAGAATTAGAAGCTCACTAACACCTTCACCAAAGGCAAACCGTTTAACTGCATGCAACACAGAACATAATTAACACAACCGATTTTCACCTAATCCCAAAAAAAATAAAACAATTCGATACGAAATCACTTGATTTGACAATCCAGGATTAGAAGCTCACTAACACCTTCACCAAAGGCAAAGCGTTCAACTGCATGCAACAAAGAACATCATCATCAGAACCTATTTAAAACTAAACCCCAAAAAAAAAAAAAAAAAAAAAAAAAAAATCGACACTAAATCACCTCTTTTGAGAATTCAGAATTAGCATCTCACTAACACCTTCACCAAAGGCAACATATAAACCCCAAAAATTAAACATATCTTCACCGAATGACCTCATTTGGAAATCCAAAATTAGTACCTTCACAGCAAATACGACACCCAGCTCACTAAAACCTTCACCAAAGGCAAAACATTCAAGTGCATGCAACAAAGAGCATAATTACCAAAACAGATTTTAAAATAAAAATAAATTATCTATAAACAACAGCAAGAATCATTTAAAGCTCCACTTACACAAAATCATTTTTATTCTAAACAAAATTACAAATGAACAGAGAAACAATCGAAAACAGTATAACTCAAAAACTAAATAGTTAAAATCAAACAGAAACTTAACAAACCCCCCCCCCCCCCAACAATTATCTATAAATTTATAAACAACAGCAAAAATCATTTAAAGCTCCACTTACACAAAATCATTTTTATTTTAAACAAAATTACAAATGAACAGAAAAAACAATCGAAATCAGTATAACTCAAAAACTAAATAGTTAAACTCAAACAAAAATTAAACAAACCCCCCCCCCCCCGAAAAACCCCAGACAAAATAAATAACCTTAATTACCTAATATATAAACTTCAATGGAGAACACACGAACAAAAAAGAAAAAGCAAGAACAAAGTGAAGAACATAAATGAAATAATTAATTAAGGAAAAAAAACGAAGAGAGATAAAACCCATAAACAAAATAATAAAACTCAATCAGAAATTCAGCGAAACCCAAAAAAAATAAAAATCTACACTTCATCACCTCAATCAAGCTTCAATGGCGAACAGACAAACAAAATGGAAAGAACAAAGAAAGAGTGAAGAACATAAATGGAACGAAGATAGAGAAAATGGGAAACAGCAAAGAAAAAGTGACGAAGAGAGAGACAAAAGGGGAAAAAAAAGGGGCAAAATCAGGAAAAAATGGCAACACCGCAAATAACTAAAAACAGCGAGGGTATAAGCGTCCGCACACTGGCCTACTGTTCATAAGGGCCTGCTGTTCATACGGGAAGTTAGGTGAACTTCTCACTTTTTAAGAGTTGTAGATATATTGTATGTAGTTTCCCTATATGTTACATTTATATAATTTTTTTATTAAAAAAATCGAATAAAGTATATAGCAACATTATTATTCTTAACTACTACCATCGTTAACAGTTATTTGCAACATTTGTCATTTTCGGTTGCTATCTATTATGTGCAACAATTTTTTTCTTTCCACTTTTAGTAACTTTTTGCCAACAAAATGACCATATTACCCTTACTTAAACAACTTAGACATCTAATTAAATCACTAACCTAATTTAACTTTTTACCTAATGAATCTAATTATTGTAATCATTTCCACCAAAAATCATTCATCTTCATCAAAATCATTCATCTCCCTAACCCTTCTTCAATTGAAATCTCTGTTGGAAATTTAGAGTGTGGAAGAAGAGAGCCCTCTCCTTGAATGGAGAGGCTGCGTTTGGAAGCCACAGAAAGTCGCGCCCGCGGCATGGGCGCGGTCAGGCATCTCCAGGAAATTTGGGAAATCTGGGATTTCCCTGTCCGCGCCCTGCGGGCTGAAATGCCGCGCCCGCGGGGCCATTAGGAGCGCCCGCTCCTCTGGAGGAGCGCCCGCTCCTCTGGTGGAGCGCCCGCTCCTACTGGCAGTTGCGGTTTTGTTTATTCTTTTAATTGCGAAATTAAAAGAAAAACGTTAGAATGTTTTGCTCTCTCTGGTTTTTCCTCTCAAAGTTCTTCCATTTTTCTTCACATTTTCATCAAGAAACTTGCAATCTCTTCTTGAAATTCTCTATCAATTAAGTTATTTCATTGAGAATTTAACCATCTTATCACACATCTTTGTGCTAAGTGTGTGGTGTTGTCTATTGTTCTCAAAGTGAGTTTCCGGTCAAAACCCAAGCACCGTGGTGGGGGAAATTATCACTTTCGGAAATTGTATACACGCCTTAGACAAGTATCCGGTAAAGAAGACTCACGTGGTCATTGAATTTCTCATGTTCTTGGTGGTGTTCGGCTTGGAGTAAGGCAAGTTTAAGAAACTTTCACATTAGCGTTACTTTGTTGTAATTTCTGAATTACTTTGTTAATTTAGTGCTTGGTTTGTAATACTACTTGAAGTATTTGGTGTTGTATGTTTCATTGAAACTTACACACATTCTAGGGTTTGTTCCACCAATTCTTTATTTGATTCTTGTTGTGTAGAATCATTGTAAACCCTAACAATCTAAAGTGATAATAGTTTGAACAACATGTCTAGTGTGAAAGAACTTACCACAAACTTTATCAAACTCAAGAAGTTTGACGGTGTGGAATTTCGACGATGGAAGAAGAAGATGTATTTTCTTCTTACATCGTTGAAGGTTGCCTATGTGATTAGCACTCCTAGACCGATTGAACATGAGAATGAAACAATGGAGGATGTGCGTGAGAAATCTAAATGGGATAATGATGACTTTATATGTCGGGGTCATATTCTCAATGGGATGGAGGATGATTTGTTCGATGTGTATCAACATGTCGAGTCTGCTAAGGAGCTATGGGAATCATTGGAGAGTAAGTACATGGCGGAGGATGCCTCAAGCAAGAAATTTCTTGTAAGTAACTTTAATGACTTTAAATTTGTTGATGGTAGATCGATTATGGACCAGTTTCATGAGATACAACGTATTTATAGTAACTTGAAACAACATGGTATCAATGTTGATGAATTATTTGTTGTTTCGAGTATTATTGATAAGCTGCCCAATAGTTGGAAAGATGTTAAGCATGACTTAAAACACAAAAAGGAGGACATATCTTTGTCCAATTTGGCTACTCATCTTCAAATTGAAGAAGGGATAAGAGCCATGGAGAAGGCTAAAGATGGAAATCCTAGCTCTTCCACCATTAATGTGGTGGAGGAAGGCAAATCTAGTGCTTCAACTAGTGGTAAGAGGAAAAAGTTTAATTCCTCTAAGGGCAAGTCCAAGAAACAAAAGGACAACAACAAGTATGCTTGTTGGGAATGCGGTAAGACTGGACACCGCAAGAAGGACTGCTACATTTTCAAGAAGAAAATGGAGAAATCCAAGGATGGTCAAGCTTCTAAGAGCAATGACCAACCCACCAAAGGTAATTTATTACATGAGGTTGAATTTAATTCCGGTATGGATTTAAATGCAACGGATCCTAACATATTTATGGTGCAGGATGATGATTCATGGTGGATGGATTCGGGGGCTTCAAGGCATGTATGCAAGGTGAAGCATTGGTTCAAAACCTTTCACAAGGTGGAGAAGAGCTCTTTATGGGAAACAACTCTACCATCATGGTCCAAGGAAGAGGACAAGTTGAGCTGATGTTTAGTTCGGGCAATAGTATCATCCTTAGGGATGTATTATATGCTCCTAGTATTTCTAGAAATCTTGTATCAGGCCCAACCCTGAATAGACTTGGATATAGACTAGTTTTTGAAGCAGATAGATGTATTATAACTAATGGTAGCACTTTTGTTGGACGTTGTTATTTGTCTCATGGTTTGTTTAAACTCTCTTTAAGAGAGAGGTCTGTAATGTTGGATGATGTTTGTTTTAATGTTGGTAATGACGATAGTATGAATTTGTTTTCTTTATGGCATTCTAGATTAGGTCATGTGAATTACAATAAGTTGTCTTTTATGTCTAAATTAGAACTTATTCCTCCATGTGATATTGCTCTTGATAAATGTACTACTTGCATGCTTAATAAGATCACTAGAACTCCTTTCAAAAAAGTTGAAAGATGTTCTAAGATCTTAGAATTGGTTCATAGTGATTTGTGTGACTTTTATAGCACACCTTCTTTGGGAAATAAAAGATACATAGTTACGTTTATTGATGATTTTTCAAGATTTTGCTATGTGTATCTTTTATATTCCAAAGATGAAGCCTTGGTTAAATTTGATATTTATAAGAAAGAGGTTGAAGTGCAAGTAGAGTCTTTTATTAAGAAATTGAGAACCGATAAGGGAGGAGAGTACTATGATCCTGCTTATTTCCAATCTTTGGGTATTATTCATGAGACTACATCTGGTTATGCACCACAATCAAATGGTGTAGCTGAAAGGAAGAACAGAACTCTTCAAGAAATGGTTAATTCCATGCTATCTTACTCCGGTTTGAGTGAGGGATTTTGGGGTGAAGCTATGTTGACGGCTTGTCACATACTTAACCGTGTTCCCACTAAGGGAAAGGATTCCACTCCTTATGAAATTTGGTATAAAAGGAAACCAAACTTGAAGTATCTCAAGGTTTGGGGTTGTAGGGCAGTCGTTAGAGTGCCCGACAACAAGAAAAGAAAGCTCGGTGAAAGGGGCTTGGAATGCATTTTTATAGGTTATGCTGAGCATAGAAAAACCTATAGGTTCTATGTGATAGAACAAAGTGACTATGTTTCGAAACATTCGATTATTGAGTCACGTAATGCAATTTTTGATGAAAATCGGTTTTCATCAATGAGTAGACCAAAGGATCTACAAGTTAGTACCAAAGGAAAG